ATTTTAACGACTTGTACTCTATGCAATTAAAGTTGTACCGGTCCAAACGGGTCCAAGAACCGGAAAACCCAGACCTGGACCCGGACCCGGACACAGACACGACTCATCCGGTCCGTTCTACGGTCCACAATATTCTCCATAACCGGTCCGGTCCGGTTCGGTCCAAATGCTCACCCCTAGATGGTAGTACCTAGTTTCACAAGTCAAATTTATTTATTTATTATTTTTGGGTATGGGTCAAAATATATGGATTGGCTTTGATTGGTGTACAATTTTTTTTTTTTTTTAAAACAATTAGTTTCTAAGCTAGTCGACTTGAGAGTTTGGATAGCTTTTATATATTACATAAGGTTCGAAAATACAAATAAGAAAACTAATCAATATTTCAATTGAAAATTTTAATTTAATTTTATTATTATTATTATTATTATTATTATTATTATTTATAAATGCTGGGTTTGTTCGAAAATTTTGATAAATTATCTGGGTTTGTTAGAGCATCTAATCATTAATCAATAACATCTTTTAATGCGAATGAAAATGAAACTCAAATCAAATTCTGAATAAAAGAGAACGAAATTCTCTCTGGATAAAAAACACACACACACGCAACCACTAATCGGAGATCTTGATATAATTGATCAGAGGAAAGCAAAACATGTACCCATAGTGCGTGTGTGTGTGAGAGAGAGAGAGAGAGAGAGAGAGTATATGAAGCAGTACCTTCAGCTGGATCGGTGGTGTTTTGAGCTCGAGTTATGGCGGCGGTGATAGTCAAGCAGAAACACAACCACAACCGCGATGCCATCTGCAATAAACGCCTCCGTCAGTCGTTGCTTCCTCCGCTTAACGATACCGTTTCACATCATATCATATTAATTTATATAAATATAAATGCATACACAGTGTAAGCAGACTTTTTTTTATATCAATAAATGCGTCGACAAGTCAAACAGACATTTTTTTCATTTCAAAGCAATGTTTGTTCCTACTGGTCGGGTCGGGTCGGGTCTGTCTCGATACCAGATGTAAAAGTTCAAAAAAAAAGGTTTAATTTGCATAAGAAAGTAAGTATTAGAAAAAATACAAAACGGAAAGTTTTAAAATACTTCTTTCTCTCTCATATCCTTCCATCATTCTCTCATTCTAGAGCATCTTCAACTCAAGCACAGGTTCAGAAGCTCATCTCCGATCATCCTCAGCCCAAAAGGCACCTTCATCTGCTCTCATCCCCGACCATCCTCAACCTAAAAGCACCTCTCATCTCCGATCAGATTCACTGATTAAACGAACCCAGTGTGAATCATGCATGTATTTAGAGGAAATAGAACAAAACCCACACAAGTATTTATACAGTTGTCTTTCAGTTTTGTCCACGTTAGATGCTTACCGACACCATCTATGATTTTTACAATTTCCCCAATAGAATATACCAGGTAATCACATAATCTGTTAGTTAATTAATTGATCATTTTCTGTAAATTTCTGGTTTATATAATACATATATTTCATAGATCATTCCAGATCAGTTTGTCTGCTTTTGTTGAAATATGGAGCTGATTTTGAACGATCAATAGTTGAGTTCATGAAGTACTATCTCCTACCAGATGCAATGAGAACCAAAAGTAAATTAACAAACCGGGACGATTCTAATCTATTACCATTTACCAGAACGTACAATCCCTGAAATATTTGGGAGTATTTGGATGCATGCTTCATCTATTTATTTCAATTCGAAGTTAGTAATAATCAGTTTTAGATGTTGAGGTAAACTAGCTATGATTCAGATTCTTCGATTATATATGCAACTGATTATTTGATTCTGAGTCACCATAACTACACATGTTTTGATTAGCATTAAATATGATATATGAAGGTATGAAGAGTACATATAGAAGTCAAATGAGACTTTTATGGATATGAAAATAGATTCTCTCTCCAGACGGTATACGTATGTCATATTATTTGAAGGAGAGTTTGTTTGGGTTTAGTACACCCTGACAGGGCATTACAAACCGCAAAATCCATTGGTATCCGTCGGTAATGAACTTTGCGACGGACCAAAATATGTTGGTAAAATCTCGTTTAATTGTTACAATAGAAACATTTTTACTGACGGATTTCCGTCACTAAGCTGTCGGTAAATAGCAATTTTAGTATAAAAAGTAATTACATGAAAATTTGCATTCTTTTATATTGGACGTGTTCGGCACGGAGCGTTTGAGAGCTTCTAGCGTTTGACAAAACGCTTCGTTTTGAACAGAAAGCCGCGTTCGGCACTACAAGCTTCTAGCGTTTAGTTTAAACAAAACGCTTCAAATCAAAATGCTACTTCATATAGCGTTTAACAAAACGCTACAAGTTACAAGCTACCCGCTACAAGCCAATTTTGCCGAACACCCAAAAATATAACAGAAAAACACAAAACTAAGAAAAATCTTATAGAAACTTTTTTAAACATTACAATTACCCATAATTCCTATTTTATTCATTTTCTACCCTCCAAACTTTTGTTTTAGTTTAAAAGTTATTTTTGGCTTCTCAGCTCATAATTACTCTTTTGTTCATTTTCCACCCTCCCACTTTTCTTAGTTTAAAAATGGAAAACTGCAATAAAATCCTTATATATTGGTCACATAATCGATTTAGTCATTATATCTTTTTTTTATTCAATTAAGTCCCAAAAACTGGTTATCGTATTCAAATTAACCCTTTTACCCCGTCAAAAGGTCATCCAACTTTTAAAATTTATATTTTTGGCCCAGATTTCAAAATTTATTACAAATATGGTCCAAAATTTACACTTTTGACCTAAATTTTAAATTTTATTACAAATTTGGTCAAAATTTTACCCTTTTTGCCCAAATTTTAAAATTTTATTATGAATTCATCCTAACTTTAGTTTTTTTTTTAACTTTTTTTCTCAAAATTTTGTTTCGAATATGTTTTTTCTTTATAAAATCATATTTATACAAGAAAAAAAACATATTTTCACATAAAAAATCTTATATTTCTATATAAAAACTTTTTTTAAAAAAACTTTTTTGTATACAAAATACCTATTTATAAAAATGGGAATTTATTAAGTACATAAATATATGCAAATCCGTTTTTATCAAGACGTTCAGCTATGAAAACACTTTTCCCTCTTTTCTTCTACTTTGTTATCTACCATCGATCGTCCTTACAGCATCAATGCTTCGCATTCACTAAAAATCGTTGTAAATTGTAAGAATTCGTTTTAAATAACCTTTTTTCAAATTATGTTGGTCCAATTTCACGATAATGGAAGCAAATAAGCCCTAATTTAGTATTTATCGCTGTACAATTTGTTTGATTATTTGCTTATTCTTGTTGATATCTTTCTTCTGCTCTATTCTCTACAATCAGTCGAATATTAAACAAAAAATTGTTGTACATTGTGACAGTCAGGTTGCATCCTTGTATTTTAGCATATGTTGGTTCTATTTCTTCCGACCTTTACATCCATTAAACATTTTCTTTGTTATTGCAAGTTAATGGAAGTACAAAATGTTTATTCAGTTTGATATAAACAAACTTTTGGAAGCATTTTTATTGTAAATTTGATAATATAATTTGAATGATTACATTTTTTTAATAATAACATTTTGAATCATGTTTTTGAATCATATCACATTGAATCATAAAATTTTGAATCTTATTATTTTGAATTATAACAGTTTTTGGATCGTAACATGTTTTGTGTGCATATATATATATATATATATATATATATATATATATATATATATACTATGAAAATAGATGTTTGTATACATTTTTTCTATAAAAACGGATTTGTATATATTTATGTACTTAATAAATAGATATTTCGTATACAAAAAGTTTTTTTTTTTAAAAAAAAGTTTTTATATAGAAAATATTAGATTTTTTTATGTGAAAATAATTTTTTTTTGTATAAATATGATTTTATATAGAAAAAACATATCCGAAACAAAATTTTGAGAAAAAAAGTTGTAAAAAAACTAAAGTGAGGATGAATTCATATCAAAATTCTAAAATTTGGGCCAAAAGGGTAAATTTGGGACCAAATTTGTAATAAAATTTAAAATCTAGGCAAAAATGTAAATTTTGGACCAGATTTGTAATAAACTTTGAAATCTGGGCCAAAAATGTAATTTTCGAAAGTTTGATGACCTGTTGACCGAGTAAAATTGTTAAATTGAATACGATTACCGGCTTTTGGGACTTAATTGAATAAAAAAAATATATAAGGACTAAATCGATTATGATGTCAATATATAAGGACTTTATTGCAGTTTTCCCGTTTAAAAATATGATCTTTGAATAAAGTGAATACGTTTTTCTAAACTTACAATTACCAACTCATCCAAACTTTGTTACCGGTTTCCCTACTTTTTTCTATTTTTTTTTTTAAGTTCTTTAAAATTAAGTTTTTTCTTATATTTCTTTTAGTTATGTCTTCCTTTAAGGTTACGGCTACTTATTTTGTCGAATTTGTTTTTACAAATAAGTTCTTTGTAGAATTAACTTTTTCAATTTTTAAAATTTTCCATTTTATACATGTTTTAAAGATTTTTCCCATTTCGGTAGCTCTGTTTCTATATGTTTTAAAAACTTTTGTTCTTAACAAATTTCCGTTTTTATAGAACTCCAGGGACAATGCGCAGGGGTATTACAACTATTTTAAACAATTCTCATGCACAAAAATTTAATTAGGCGGGGTATGGTATAATTTTTGTCGATGGTAAAAATGTGTCATATAAACGCCACCTAAGCTTTTGTAGTTTTTACATTTTTTTACCTATGAGGTACGGTTTGGTGATGTTTTTTACCTACCAAATTTTCCTTTTTTTTAATTCAAAAATCTAAGTAATTTCATAAACATAAAAAATAAATACTAATTAAAATAACATAACATTTCATAAATTAAAAACATTACATTTGATTTAACAATCATAAAACGGAAATTAAATTAACTAACTTAATAAAATATTTCAGTCCGAATATTCACCGATATCATTGTCCATTGGCTCATTTAAATCAATTTCATTAACCCGATATATGTGTTCTGTCAAATCGTTGCGAAGCTCGTGGTGTTTTTGATTGTCACATATCGGCCTTCTTCTTGCACGCCATAAGATGGAACCAGGTGGTATTAGCGTACTAGAGGATGCACCGTCCTTTGGTTGAAACTGACAAATTATTTTGTGCTCGTCTTTCAAAATCATATTATGTAAAATGATACACGCATACATAATACAAGCGAGCTTTTCCACACTTCGAGGACAAGTCGGATGTTGTAGTATACGCCAACACTTCTTGAGGACTCCAAATGCTCGTTCGACATCCTTCCGAGCCTTTTCTTGGTACGTTTTATACTTTATGCATTTTGGATCACCTGGACATGTAAGCGTCTTCACAAACACAACAAATTCAGGGTATATACCATCAACAAGATAATACCCATAAATATACGTCGTTCCATTCACTTGAAAATGACAGCTAGGTGCGGACCCATCACAAAACCCATTGAATATGGGCGACATGCCTAAAACATTAATATCGTTGTTTGAGCCAGGAGCACCAAAAAAAGCATGTCAAATCCAAAGATCATGTGACACAACAACTTCAAGTATGACTGTGAGGTGACCCTAATCACCCCGTGTAAATTGCCCTTGCCATGCATTAAGACAACTACCCCAAGCCCAATGAAGACAATCCAAACTTCGAAGCATACCAAGAAAGCCATAAATACTAGCATGATGATCATATAATGATTGAACGTCAATAAAAGTGAGTTTACGCAAATACTTTGGACCGTAAATAGTGACAACGCATCTGCAAAACTCATCCAAACTGTCCCTAGCTACTCGTTCGGACATTTGAAAATATCCGTCCCATGAATCAGAAACAGAACCGTAAGCTAACTGACGAACCGCAGGTGCACATTTTTGTATTTCTGAAAACCCATCCGCACCTCTTGCATCTCGACGTTGTCTAATATATTCAGAAATGCTAGTAACGTCACCAACTATACAAAGAAATAAATGTTTTGTCATTCGGAATCGACGCCGGTAGTGTGCCACTAGACGAGTGTTTGCATCCCAACGATCTCTGAGAATCATCTTCCGCGTCTTAGGTTGCCTAGATTCGAATTCCTCTTCTTCTTGTTCTTCTTCTTCTTCTTCTTGCACCTTTTCTATAATCGTTTCCCATGATTTAACAAAAGCTTGACCAACGGTTAGTAACAACTTACAATTTTGTAATGAATTTGCCATTTTTCTAGATAATTTTTTAAAGAAGATAAGATAAAGATAGGTTTGAGTGAATAGGTCATGATATGGAGTATATGTTTGTATTTATAGTGGTTAGAAAAAATGAAAAAAATAAATAAATATGGAAACAGTCTTTTGCAACGTTCACAAATCCCACCCAACGTCCACTTTTTCAAGCTTTCGCCCTCGATTACATTGCAGCCTGGTGTTTACCGGCGGTGAAGTTGGCCACATAGGCATACTGCCAGTGAGATCTTCATGATACCGTCTAGTCTTAAAAAACACAAAATTCATAAAAATCTAATAGATACTTTTTTAAACATAAATAATAAACCACTCCCAGATAAATCTTCCATTCCTGTGGTGTCTGAAAATGTATGCCAAAAACAATCCAACCTTTTTCCACAAGCGTTGTATAAAAGTAAAAATGTATATCCTATTTACATGAAAGATAACTATAACTGATTAAAATATATTTTTTGTTGAATGCCTGAAATCCCTTAATGGTGTTGTAATATGGACCAAGTAACAAATTCGTCGGTGCAACTAGTTGTGTTGTTCTATTACATCCATCACAGTAAAAATAACATATTTTTTTTAATAATATAATACATTTTTTTAAATAATAACCGAATGGAAAGAAAATAATTTTACCTGCAATGAACAAACACAAATGTTAACTCAGTTGCAACAATTCAAACAAATATACTTATTAAATTACTTCCACCCCATGTCCATCCACCATTTCTCTTTTAAAATTGATCATTTCAAGACTTTATATATAAAAATTTTCAACCAAAAAATAAATTTAATTATACCAAAAATGACGACATACCAAAAATGATGACATTCCATCCGATGATTTAGCATGGATCATATTTATAGCAAAAAATCAATCTAAATAAAGAACCCAATGTTAGCAATTTAAAATTGTGGAGACTAACATGTTATAAATAAAACATGTTATTATTTTAAAGTGCTCAAACCTTTGACAAACCTCAGATCTTCCATCTGTTATGTATAACTTTCGAAAAAGTTAGATTTATTTTATTTGACCAGATTTAAAAAGGCTTTAGTCGGACATGGCTAAAGCTTGAGGAATTCGACTTACAATAAACCGAAATAATATTTCCAAACAATGTGATTCCTAGCAAAAACCTCCAAGAAAAATTGCCCCTATGTGATGACATTCCCCCAAATGGCTTAAAATTCTTAAATTAAAGAATCAGTGAAAACTGCCAAAAGATAGTTATTGGGTTCCACACACCCGCGTGGATTATGTAAATCCACATGCCCCGTGTGGAGGGTGAAAGCATATTGCTTTAAATGGAAAGTCCTCAAAAGTACAACGCCAAAATCAACCAATTTGGGTTCCACACACCCTATGTAGATTAAGTGTAAATCCACATGCCCCATGTTGAATGAAGTCAATGCCTACAACGGTGGCATTTTCCGGTAAGCAAAGGTTTGGAAGAGAAAGGCGACATTTTCCGGTCGCAATGTTTGTTCCATGGATAGGGAAGGATAAAATAGTTAGGTACTTAGGTTTTGGGGTGATTTGACCCATCTCTTTTATTAAATAAATTCCTTAATTAAATAAATATTAAATTAATTAAAAAGAAATATACATGGGCAATATAGTCTTTTTATGTCTATCGGGGACCAAACACACAACAAAAATATGTAATAGGGACCATCCGAGTTAAGAAAAAAACTTAAGGACCAAACGTACAGACTACCTCTAACCATAGAGACCATTCATGTAACTTATGTTATTACCTATTTAACATTTAGACAAAACTGTAAAAATGGTCCCTATGGTATGTATTTTTTCAAGAAAAACATCCAAACCACTAAACTTTTGGATTGGTGGTCGTTTGAGAATGTTTGTATGCGTTTTGGTCTCTCGAAAAACTAAAAAGACTGTATTACCCCATTTAATTTCCTTTTCCTATTATGTTTCATTTTTATCGAATATATTAAATAAAAAGAAAAATCAAATAAGGCCCCTACCCCACCCCCTCCCTCACCCTCACCCCCACATACCTCTTCTTCATCTTTTCCACCACTCATCTATATCTTTGGCGACTCTATTAAAGCCTTCTTCCAATTCTCCGGAAACAACCCAACCACTGCCTGCCGGAAAATTACCCACACCCAACCGTTCCTCGGTTTTAAGAGTGATTCAAAAACTTAGTCATTGCCTCCTTCTTGCCACCTTCTACTATTATGATCCACCACCAAACAGTCTTGCCATAATTTGAACCCCTTTGCAGAACCCAACTGACCATCACCAACTTGCTCCATAATTTTCAACATTTCCCTATTTTATGTCATTTTCTTCTCCAACCCCTCTGTAATAGAAAACAATTCAATTTCTCCAAAGAACCCAATCTAATACATAAATTGAGGTTTGGATTTCCCATAAACATCACAACATTACATAAACCATCGATGAAATCAAAATATGTCAAAGTTGAACAAAATCAACCTAGAAATCTTTGAAGATCGATGTTGAAAGCCAACCCAAAACTTGCAAAAAGAAAAACAAAAAACCAAACTAATCTCATCCCTAACCTAGTGATTTTTTTAGGGTTCTTTGTTCATCAATCTTCCCGACTAGTAATTTCACAATCACCATAATTAGGTGGATTTGCTTTGGAATTAAATTTGCACAAAATCGATATCTTGAGATCGATAATGGTAACCAACAAACTCGTTGGGGAACACAAACACGAGTCAAGACGAGAGATCGAAAGGCGAAGGTGATTTATGAAAATGAGTTTATGGTTTTCTAAAGATGGCGATGAGGAAAACTCCAAAGCTAGTCCATGGTTTGATTTCCAGAGTTATTAGTGGTTTCTTAAGCGATGATGGTATAGTGGAAGCTTATAAGGTCTCTGTAACACCTGGTTCGGGTATTGGTGGGAAAGTTGCCAATTTGGGGAGGATTTATGCATGGACTCGGCGAGTTGGGAGATCAACTCGTCGAGTAGGGTCGTGGTGACTTGGACGCGGGTCCGAATTGACTCGGCGAGTCGGAAGGCCCGACTCGGCGAGTCAGAGCTGTTTAGAGAAAACCCCAGTTTCGGGGTTTTCCCCTATATAAACATTATTATGAACCCTAGTAGCTTCCCTTAACACCATAGAAGAACGTTCACGGCCGCAAACCCTCTTGTGTGTGAAGTAAGAACAATTGGGAGCTTATCTTTGAGATTTTGGGGAGGATTCCAAGTTTGAAGAGGAAGTATCAAGGGAGAAGTATTAGATTAAGCATCTATTTCGTGTTGGGCATTTGTCTGAGGTATTAATCTGCTACCTTAAGCTTTGATTTCTTTTTGGAGATTATGGCCAACCTTGAGGAGATGGAAGCAAACTTAGATCTGGATCTATCACAAGGATATGACTCCAGATCTGGACCTCCTTAGGTCCCAAATATCATAAAGTTGCACCTTTTATTAAGCTTATTCCCTCTCCATGCATGAAAACCTTGTTTGAAGGTTAGTCTTGGTGTTATGGCCATGTGAGGCCTTGCATACACGTAAAGTTTGCAACTTTACGTGTTATCTACACTAGTAGAGGATAGATCTGAAGTTTGGGACCTTGAGTCCCACTGGAAAAGGCCGTAAACATAATGGACTAAGGGGACTCAGCGAGTCGTGCAAGAGACTCAGCGAGTCGAGAGGGTTTCCTCGTTCACGGCCAAGGGTTCACGGTCAAGGGTACATGGCCAAGGGTTCACAGTCAAGGGTGTTCGGTTGGGAGTTTACGGCCGTAAACATCAAGGAACTCGACGAGTCTCTCGGATGACTCGGTGAGTCAATGAGTTAAGCAGGGAACTGATGAGTGGTTGATTGCACTCGACGAGGCAAGGTCAATATGGACTGTTGACCTTGACTACAGACCTAGACTTTGACTAGGTTTGACTCAGAGGAGTCGTAGGGGCAGAGTTAAGATTATTTATTTATTGGTTATAGGCAGTTTGGGAGGAGCAGTGTAGGACATACCTGAATTCAGTTGTCGGTTCAACTTTGTGAGGTGAGTCTTCTCACCATACCCATGGGTCTAAAGCACCAAGGCCGGCCCATTATGTGATTATGATATATGTGTTAGTCATTATGTGTTTTGGTATGTCATGTGAATGTGTGTTTTGCATGGAAGACCTCGGGGGGAGCCCGTGGCATTAGATGTAAGACCATGCGGGGTAGCCCATGGCTGTCTTAGGTAAAGACCATGTGGGGTAGCCCATGACATTGGATTTAAGACCATGTGGGGTAGCCCATGGCTGTCCTAGGTAAAGACCATGTGGGCTAGCCCATGGCATTTGTAACATCCCAATTTTCAAGGCCAAAAAATTCATTTTTAAATTAAGTACCTCATGAAATAGTGTACCAAAACATTGTCAAGGTTACATCAACTTATAAAAACCATAACGTCATGTTTCAAAATCACAATAACAAGAGTTATGAAAATCAGAGTACAATCCTAGAAACTCCATGCGGAAATCATGTGTGTGTGTGATGCGCTTCTACACCGCCGGCTCCTTCCCCTTGGACAAAGAGGTACCCGAAACCAAAACTGAAACTGTAAGCACAAAGCTTAGTGAGTTCCCCCATCATACCACATACCAAAACCACATACATATTGCCGGACAATTATGGGATGCCCGACCTACCCATGTCAAGCCATTCTGGGGTGCTTACCTACCCATGTCAAGCCATTCTGGGGTGCTGACCTACCCATGTCAGGCTATTCTGGGGTGCCGACCTA